TATGATTTTATTAACATGAAAGCAATCTTTTGAGTAAATAATACTAAAAAAGAAAAATTTGAATTCTCAACTGCAATATTAAAAACTTTTCTGTTATCTATTTTGGCATGGTTCAAACTAATGTAAGAAAACGATTCATTAACTGGGATTATTATTCTACCAAACTTGCACACCTAAATCATGATTAGTAGGTACATTAATTAATTAAAACATTAATTGGAAAATGTGGTGATGCTGATGTTTTTCTTGTTGCTAACGAAAAGCTAATGCCTATATGTATAGTCCTAACTTAGCATGTGAGCATTCTTCAGTTCTAGTACCTATTTTAGGAACATTATGTTTAGGTTCGTTGGACTTATTTTAAGAACTAATTAAGGCATCCCATGAATTCATTTATTCGATCTTAAAAAGTGCTTACTTATAGGTACGTTTCACTATTTTCCACAAACTAAATACTTAAATCAATTTTAGTTGTTAAATACTTCCATTGGCACATTTGAAAATATCTCTAACAAATATAAGCTACTTTTAACGTTTTATATCTTTAAAATAGGTTTAAACAATTGCAAATAATAATATCAAGGGGGCAAATAGCAAATGGGTATAAGAGTGGGGCCCAAATTAACAAATATTATATGGGTACCTTTTTATTATAGGTAGGTACCTATTTTAAGTCACGAACTCTCAAAAATTAACATACTGTTGAAGAAACTCAGAAACATTTTAAGTAGCAAAGGCCAAAGTACATATGTACTACAATTTTTTATCATGGTACTACAAACACCCATACTTTTTATAACTGTGGTACAAAGAAAATGGATAAGTGGGTGGAGATAGCGGAACCTGGCGCTACCATTGCAGGGGGGCTACAGTGCTGTAGGATGATTAACAAAACCCATACCAGATGTTACAATTGTGTTTTTTGGGTCAAATTGGGACAAGAAAATCGCAAATGGAAACAAAGGTGTACCTTATGTTATACATAAAATCACTTCCATGACGTTGACGACAAGAGTTACCCGAACGGTTTACGAGAAGAAGACGATCGATGCCAGCTGCTATTACTCTTGGAAACAACCTCTGAAGGTTTGACTTTGACAAGTAACAAACGAATACCGTTCAATAGACATTTGACGCAGCCATGTTGAACACAGCAAGAGGCTACGATCGGAGAACGCTATTGCAACGTCATTGACTCAACGACGTAGTGAATTGTAACATAGGTACTTACTGCTAATTTTCATGCCTCCCAGGGGAGGATTGAGTTGCTGCTTGTTGCCCTCTGCAAACGACGTCGTCCTAGGGCGTCCACTCATGTCTATCTTCTATATGTGGAGAGTTTGACGCTAGCGAACTTCATAGATTTATCACATTTCTTGCGACACCCTTTTCACGAGCAACCGAGCGAAGATGGCTCAGTCTCACCGTCACGCACTTTAAACTACCATTTAAAGAACAAATTAAAGTTACCGACATACACGTTATTGCCACACACTTGAAATCAATGCCTGAAATTCCGTTTTCATTGTAAAAGATGTTTAATTTCAATCGTTTGCCACAGGCTTCACCTCACCATTAATTTTGAGATGCTTCAGACATTGACCCGCTCGGCTACCCTCGGAGCCAGCCTAGTAGAACTCTCACTTATCGACTATTCCGTTCTTTAAATTACCGACAACCATCCAATAACCGTGACGTTCTGCCATCTACCATCCTAACTCCGAAGTTTTTGAAAGCGGCATTTTCAAAAAGTTACGCACTTTTTAACTTACTTCTTAATCTAAGTGAAAATAAATAATCTTATTACAAATAAATTTATGTTTTCTTAGAAATGATTTTAAAAGGTGCAATTCGTTAGTATTATAAATAATGATAAATGACAATCAAATAAAACAAAAAGAATAACGAATTTTCACTTTATCTAATTACTTTTGTTTTATTGTTATCAAAGACTATTCTAAATAGTATTAATCCATGTAGAAAAACAGTTTGTGTGTTAGTAAAAGCACTCAGTTCAAATTAATGGGGTTGGTAATTATACAATTTTTTTGGTTTATTTCATTCGATATAGGAAATAAAAAAACCTTAACCATTTTGGAAGTGCCATTTGCATGTGTGCTTTAGGAAATAATAAAAATTTAAGTTTTCCAAAAAATATATTGTTAATTCCTACATTCTACAAAACAATTATTTGATTAATACGGTGGAATTATTGGGCAGGAATAAAAACGCTACTTACTTAACAAATTGGTATTAACTTAGAATGTAGTAATTACATAAAATATAATAAATAATGAAATAGAATAACTTTGGCTACAATAGCGTGATTTAGGAAAGTTTTTAAAGCTCTTGGAGCTGAAAGTAGAAGACAGGAGTAAAAAATATGACTATAAAAAATGACTTAAGTCTTACACATAAAATACATACTAGAACAGGATAATTATAAATAATAAAAGCAATAAAACAAAATGAGTAAAAATTAACTACTTATGTAAAGTAAAAAAAGTAAAATAATTGGAGAAAAACAAAGAAAATACATTTCTTGCGCTTATGTACTAAGTTCAAATAATTTAGAATTATCCTGTCCATTAAAACGTGCAATTAAAGTGAAAATTCAACAACAAAATAGTAACAAAAAGATCAAGTTTTAACACACAAGTAAAAATAAGAAACTTAAGTAAATAGTTAAACGATTAAAACACATACGCACCTTACATACACTATAGTAATAAAAAAGTATCGAATATATCACGTAAATAACTACAAAGTGGATTAATTAAGGAAGAATTAATGTTTTTTTTTTACGATATTTGGCGAGTACAAGTCAAAATACTACGTCAGCGTTGACGCTTTATCGTTTTTATTTTATTGGTGCCAGTTAAAATATAGAAAATAATTGACCCATTTTTTTTAATACGTTTTTGTAAATGGCACTGTATAAAAATTTGTTTTGCATTCTGTACGACGATACAGAGGGTAAAATATACCAAGTGGTTGTATTTAGGTCTTCTATCAAAAAAGGCTGATAGTTATTTGTTTCACTTACCTAAACTACATCCTTCAATTCCATGATTTTGATAAACGTTGTGATTCAATTCGAAAAAATTACGTCAAATTTCATCTTACACTTGCCAAAGTATCTGATGTGTAAATGTACTGATTTTAACGTTTCTTCTAATCACACGGTCTTGTTTTTTGTATTTTCCCGTTGTTGTCTTCTTAATTAATATTAAATGGTATGGTATGAAATGCTAAAAAAGTAAAATGATTTGTAACTTATTTGTTGTTGTTGTGAAAAATCACAGATGTCTTTTTTCTTTTTTACTTGTTGTCAGCTCTTGTTTCTACGATTAGGGGGGTATGATTAAAAATTGACGTGTTTTGTGTGTTTGTATCAGCATTCGCACTTAGAAATTTGACCCATGGCATCAAACGAATAAAATAAACAAATATGGTAATGTCAATGGCAAAGTAGCAATTACAAATTAAAAAAAAAATTAGATATCTTTAAATAAGTTATTCATTTCTATTAGGACAGCATTCCTTGAATTAGGGGTCTTTTTTAAAACCTGTAACGATAAGACCATGATAATATTAGGAGACTCTTTATAAACCTGTAAAGCCAAGCAAATAAGTGTGGCTTTCTGTAATTCCCCTGATTGGCTGCATGGGAGAACTGCCCTTAAAGCTATATGCCTCAGATTTTATATTAATATAAATTCCAAAATACTATACCGAACGTTTATAAATAAACGACTAGTTAATCTTTGTAATTAATTTTTTTTGTAGCCTTATTTCAGTCCAAGTTTCAACCACACATATCTATAATAGATAATTTTCATTAAGATTCTTACGAATAATAATTAATTTTTAACTAGTTTAAAAAATGTGAGACTTGTAACTGCGAGGGCAGGTCGCTCATGCTGACCCACTAATACAGACGAAACTCATCGATAATAATAAAGGATAAACAATATAACTCGACATTTTATAGTTAATAGGCACGAAAATTGCAACTGCAATCATTTTCTACAAACACTTAATCGATTTATGTTTTTAAATGGTCCAAATTTTTTTTTTAGTTTTACAAAATTTCAAGTGCAAGGTTTACTGTCCTATAAAAATGAACTAACTTATAGGTTCACGTTTTAAAGATAGTCACTGCAAGTACAATACATAACAAAATATTTTTTAACATCTCAAATTTGTAGCAGATCTTAAAAAATACATTTATGACACTAAATAAGCTGAAATGGAAAACGCTACAAATTATTGATTAGAAAAAGATTATAGTAGGAAAACATACTTTCCTACTTTAACATAAAAGTAACGGCTGTATCTGTATTGATTACCGACAATTTCTTATCAAAGCGAGTACTGTCGAATGCGCTGTAGGTAGAAAGGCATCACCTGTACATGCGCGGACATTACATTAGATTACTGCGCATGTCAGCACGTCACGTCGACGAGAAAATATCAGTAACGAATACGACCAATTAAAGAATATCAGATTTCATTTTTTTTTAGTAACATTGACAAAATCTAACCGCTATAAAAGCACACGAAAAATCTTTTACATCAGCAACAACTACTCTAGTATAAATATGAATCATCTGTGTTAAATATATATATATATATATTATAATACTCTATTATTTCT